GATCCATTAGTTAGCTATATAAATTAGAAACATTAATAACTTAATCATAGTTTAAATCCTCATGTAAACTAAAAAATGCTAGGTGATATTTTCTTATTCAATGGAATGGCCCTTGCTAACCAATTATCGATTTTGTCTTAAAAAAATACTTATTATCTCAGAACTTTAATTGAAAAAATATAACTTCAAGATATTGATTATCTTTTTTAATTATAGAAGCTGAAAAGTAATTTTATGAATATTATCCTTATATTTGTCTAAGCTTTGAATGATCGATCACTCAATATCAAAACGGTAAAAAATATCAAATATTTGATAAAATAGTCAAAATATACCCAAGTTGATAAGACGTCACTATTATCAAAGTCATTAACAAAAATAATCTTTAAAACTTTTTTGGATTATGGATAATGCACATGACTAGAGTCTATTTGGAGCCGACATTTAGGTTATCAAATCCAATATGCCAACAACTTCTATGATTTGAATGGTTAATTTATCACTCTTTTTCTTTTCCATTTGGTCATTTGGTATTTTGAGATCACATTGGGTCCCCGAATAATTCAGATCGCGCACTTTAGGGTCTATTTGGGGGTGACACTCTTAACATGATTTTTTCATTACAAGGGCTTGAACCGAGACTTTTGATTAAGAATAAAGCAGTCCTACCACTGTAACCAAAACTCATCCTGATGACTAATTTATTACTATTTCTGGGCTCTAGTGTCATATACTCTCTCCGTTCATTTTTATTCGTCTAATAAATTAACAATAATTATTTAATAGTTTACTTATTTATTTTCAAAAATTAAGAAATAATTTATTAGTTTATATTTATTTTTTAAATATTATTCATTTCCTAATATTTGATGACTTATCGTATCATATCATTAATAGAAACAAATAAAAATGAATGGAAAAATTGGTGTATATATATATATAAAACTAAACAAACCAATGTCATTTCTTCATTACGTAGACTTTCCATAATTAGTACGAAACAATTAGTCGACATTTTGTTTTCCACTACCTATCCACAAGAGCGAAAATACGAGTTCGACAAAATTTAATAGTTTTATCTCAATTATATATAAATTACGAAGTTTACTAAATATGCACATATAATAAGTTGTTAATCCAATAATATAATAAGGGTTAAGGGGTCCAATGATCAATATTTTAATTTTTTTTTGAATTTATAAATTTTAAATTCGTCATTCGTCATTCGATCAACTATGGTGATAATGCAAAATAACTTCAACTTAATCCATAGTGTCATCTTCCTTATCTTTATTGCCTTTATACATAAGAAAATTGTCTTTACCACGTAATTAGTAATCAATTACTATTTGACTCCATAAAAAAATGATTTTATTTTCACTTTTTAATATTTACGTATCTCTACTTTTGGTACATTGTGCGACACCCATATAATGTGTGCCCAAAAATTGTTGATTAAGGGGATGACACATACACATTGACAAGTTGAATAAAGTGTGTAAAATAATAGTAGTGACATATTGTAGTACTAAAAATAAATAGACAAAATGAATCAAAAGTCAAATGAATTAGATAATTGAATTGAAGAAAAATATACATAATGGGAACAAAAAGCTTTTTATATCTGAATATAGTGCAGTGCTTGTCGGGGCATCTTTTTTATTGTTTATCTTCTTTAAAATTAACACATTAATAGAGGAAAAGATGACTAGATGATTAACTAAATAATGTGTCTGTGTTGACAATTGTTCAATGAATGAGTAATATTAATGATCAAGGAAACAATAAGCACTAAGGAATGCGCTCAATAATGACTTGAATTAGGATAGGTTAAAATAGGTTAACTTATCAGTCATAATCTAATTTGTTCAATTCTTATCAAGTTATGATACTATTATTTTCTTTTTTTATATAGATAATTAGTTCTATAGAGCGATGATTAAATCTATATTGTTGCATGTAGCAGAGTGTTGATTGGACAAAATGCTCACGTTCAAAAGATGAAGGCAGTAGAGATGAGAATGCTCATATGAATGTGTGAGCATACCAAGAGAGATAGATGAGGAACGAAGTTATACATAACAAGGTGGGAGTGAACTTCATGAAAGATAAGATGAGAGAAACGAGGTTGAGATGGTTCATACATGTGAAGAGGAGGTGCATGGACGCACCAATGAGGATATGTGTGAGGTTGGCTTTATGAAATTATAGGATGGGTACAGGTAGGCCAAAGACAAATTGAGGTAGGGGAAAGATTAGATCATAGGACATGACGCATCTCGAACTTACTGAAGGTCGAATATTAGGATAGTTGACTAGTGGATAGCTGAGTGTTGTCGTAATTTTACGAGGGAGACGCAGGAGGCTAGTCTTCTATTGCTCATCTCCTCATTTAATAGTTTTAGTATCTTTTCTTTTACTTTTGCTACCAACTAATGTTTCTTTTGTATTATTAATCTTTCTATTTTGTTGCGGTTATTTAGTTTTCAATAATATTTTGATTTTACTTTTTTTGAGTTGAGGGTCTATCGAAAACAACTTATCTACTTTACAAAGATAAGGTAAGTTCCCCAGTACATTCTATCCTGATCTCCAAGTCTCACTAATACAAATCATTCCAATCTTTTAAATAAGTTGAATTGAACGAATCATTAACTCATCCAAACTTAAGCTAACTGAATTGATAATACTTTGTGGACTAATTTTACCACCAAGAACCATCGTCCCCCTTTGTTAATGAATTATGGATTTTCTTAACTTGAACAAACAAGGCAAAACCCTAGTCTTTAATTTCTATAAATTGGCAATGCCCTAGTATTTGGACAGCAAAAACCTTGTCCCATCACCTTCTTCCCACTAGTTAATTTGTCTCACTTATTGTCCTTTCTCAATTCATTGACCCTAAATTCATTATCCAAAATCTTTTTGTTTGGTTAGTGTATAAAAGGGACTAAATACTCAATCACATTTGTTACACACATTCCTCTACCTTTTTCTTGATTTTATTCTCAAATTCTATTGCACATATTCATACATATAGTCCTCTATCATGTCTACATTTAGCAACAAAATGGAACTTGTACTCATGTTACTATGTATGTTGATTGTTACATCGATGATCCTAGGATGTTGTCACGAGGCAGTAGAAAGGCCAATTATTAGGCCTCATCGTCTAAGTTTACGCGAATTTGGTTACGATGAATCAACGTTGGAGTATTACAAAAGAAGGGCAATGTTGTTAGATGTAGGAACCATGAGGGTGGCTCCACAAGGACCAGATGCTCAACATCATTCGCAATCACCAACAATGTCATAAGATGCAAGGGTGAATGGAATTGTGTGTATCGTCTAAATTGATTAAGACATATGTTGTACGTGTGTATTTTGATTGCAACTACAAGTGGAATTTAATATGTTATAGCAAGTTATCGCTCTATTTTTCGGGTTGCAATTTGTTGTTAAGTTGATATGTATATGGCAGGATTGTGCCTGCTTTTTCCCTCTCATGTTGGCTTGTTGATCCATGCAATAAAAGTAAGTTCAAGAAACTTGATTTTTATGGATTTCACAGAAATTAAGGTATACATTTAAAAGGATTTTGCACTTAAAAAGAAAATTAAATTACCTTAATATGTTATAAGGATTTATACATAATTATAATTTTATCCAATTTAAAAATATATATTATAAAGATAATTAAATAATAATTTAAGAAAATTAGTAAAAAGCATAACTTAAATTTTACAGAACTTATGATAGAGAGACAAACTTCAATTTCAAAACTTGCGAGTTAATTGTGTCTTAAAAAGACATAACTTAATTCCTGCAGAACTTATGTCGAACAAATAAAAAATTCTCTAAATGTGACGAAATTCGATCATAGAAAAGCTACACAACTTAAGGTGCATAACTTAATTTTTACAAAACTTATGTGGAGCAAGGTAAAAGTTTTTTAAACTTATGTCTAGCGATCCATTGCTCACCTAATACATAAGTATGCCCATTGCTCGTCAAGCCAAGTTAAAGGTCATAGTTTTTACTATCCATTACTCTAGGCCTGTATTATCTATCATGGGTTTAGGTGACAGATGTTAATTTGGGCCCTGTTGGGGTTTTAGGCCTGTATTTTCTATCATGGGCTTTGGTGACAATTGTTGATTTGGACCATGTTGGACTTCTAGGCCTGTATGATATCATGGGCTTTGGTGACAACTGTTGATTTGGGCCCTGTTGGGCTTCTAGGCCTGTATTATCTATCATGGGCTTTAGTGACAACTGTTGATTTGGGCTCTGTTGGGCTTCTAGGCCTGTATTATCTATCATGGGCCGGTGATATCCCTGTCTCTCTGGTCCAAAATTAAAGTTTGAAGAGGGTAAAATATATACAAATTTTACATTTTATCTCAAAAGCAGAGATGTTGTTTTTGATAGACCCTTGACTCGAGGGAAAAAATAGCCCAAAACATTTTACATCTATCTCAAAAGTAGAGAGGTTGCTTCTGATAGACCCTCGACTTGAGGGAAAATAGCCCAAAACAAAATAATATGATAGTCGAAGTACAAGACAACAAATAATAGTAACAGGCTATAGCCCAAAACATTTTACATTTATCTCAAAAGCAGAGAAGTTACTTCTGATAGACCCTCAACTCAAGGAAAAAATTGTCCAAACCAAACTAATATGATAGTCGAAGTACAAGACAACATATTTCGAAAGATTAAAAACTAAAACTAAGCTATCAGTATGACAGATAACGCTGCAACGCATTGCTACCTACTAACCAACCTTCTATCTTAATTTATGTCCTCCATAACCTTCGATTTAAAGTCATATTTTCGATAAGTTAGAACTGCTTCATATCCTATCTAATCACTTAATCCCAAAACTTTTTCATAAAAAATAATACGTATATATATTATTATTTTTAATGCATCGTACCAGACAACACGAGTACATACCAAGTAGTATAGTTAAAAGAAAAGTAGGTGAGTAGAGTTCGGATCGAGGACACTTTCTCTCAATTGCTTTACCTCTTTTTCCCCGAAAAAAATAAAATCTCCAATCTCACTCCCCAAATTCACAAAATCCTCAAAATTTAGTTTTCTTATTTTCCCAATAGATCCTTCAACTTTTCGTAATTTTTGTTTTTGTCTCTCTATTCGGAAAAACCCTAGTTCCCTACTTCATCCATTTCCCCTGAAAATATCGATTCCGATCCAGCTAAGGTTTCCAGTTTTTCTTTTCAAATTCATGGGGTTTTAGGGTTTTAGGAGGAAAGTTTCAATTTTTCGGCTTTTCCAATCCCAGTTGTTGTGTTTTGTGCTTTGTGTTTCGCTTGTTTTAGGGTTAGGGTTTAGTTTCTTCATCCCTTTTGGTTGTTGTTGGGTTGTGATTACATGTATGGATTCAGATGCAAACGATTTGAATTCAAGAAATAGGTTGCGTTGGGGCGATAATTACAAAGTTTATACCCGGAAGCGCCGTAGAACCCTAGAGAATACTAGTACTGACGTTGTTCCGGCCGCCACAGCCACCGTTAGCTCAGCCGCAGCTGCACCGGAGGTTTCGAACAGCGGGAGGGATACGAACGAGAATGATGATGTGCCGGAGCCGTCTTTGCAAACCCAATTTCGGGATTGTTCGACTCTTAAAGGGGGGACAGGGGGTGAGCAAGTAGCTGTGAGTAATGGTGGGGAAGTGCGGGAATTGACGGAAGATTCATGTGGTAGAGATGAACCTAGAGATGGAGGTGTCGGACCACTGGTGGAGCATAGAGATGGGGAATCGGCTGAGGGTTCATGTGGTAGAGATGTACCTGAAGTTGGCCGGGGCATTGACACTGGTGCAGCGGTGGTGGTGTCTAGTGGTGGAGAAGTCCCAGAAGGCAGCAGCGGAAGTCAGCCAGCAATGCAGAATCATAGAAATGAACCACAAAGTGACAATCTTGAAATGGAGAATGGGTATGGTAAGCCGGTTATTTCAAGAATTAAAGATAGAATTAGGATTAATTTAACTGGAGTGAGGTCCAGCGATGAGATTAGAGAGCTCGGTATGAGCCTAGAGAGTGAGCTTGATCAAGTTAGGGGCTTGGTAAAGCAGCTTGAAGCTAAACAGCTTCAGCTGACAACATATAGGACTAGTATAAATGGTGGTAATATTAATGCTGGTAGTGTTACTACTTTCCCTGGTAGTATTACTACTGTCCCTGGTGGTTCTATTAGCTCTTACAGTCATCCACAGTATATGGATGATGGTGTGATCAAGAATAGGTCTTTAGCGCGAATGAATTCAGAGGTGCGTTCTGCTGGGCACATTGGATCAAGACCATTCCAGCGACCTAATTTTCTGATTGTGGAAAACAGCAATGGTTCTACTGACTTTGTGGAGAAGGAGAAGAGGACCCCAAAGGCTAATCAGTTTTACAGGAATTCCGAGTTCCTCCTTGGTAAGGATAGACTGCCACCTGAAAGCAATAAAAGACTGAAGACTAATGGCTCTGGGAAGAAGCACAGTGCCAATTCAGAGAATGGGTTTGGGCTTGATAAGCATAGACTTCAGGTTTTTAGGAATTGTAGCAGCTTGCTTCAGAGGTTAATGAAACACAAGCACGGTTGGGTGTTTAATGAGCCAGTGAACGTGAAATCACTTGGGCTACATGATTATCACGACATCATTAAGCATCCTATGGATTTGGGCACCATTAAGACTAGGTTATCTGAGGATTGGTACAAGTCTCCAATGGAATTTGCGGAGGATGTACGACTTGTCTTTCGTAATGCCATGACTTATAATCCTAGAGGGCAAGATGTACATGTTATGGCTGAACAGTTATCAGAGATTTTCGAAGAGAGATGGGCAGTTATAGAGGCTGAGTACAATTCAGATTGGAGGTACCAAACGTATCATGATGTTGGTGCTCCCACTCCCACCTCAAGAATGACCTCTTATGCTCCTCCTTTTCTCCACACCCCAGTGTCTTCTCGTTCTCTTGCTCCACATGCCCGTCAACTGCATCCTTTGGATAGATCTGAGTCAATGACTAGGCCAGTTAATCCCAAGATGAAGACTTCAAATATAGCTCATGTTACTAGGACACCAGTTCCTAAGAAACCGAAGGCAAAAGATCTCAATAAGAGAGACATGACGTATGAGGAAAAGCAGAAGCTTAGCACTAATCTTCAGAATTTACCTTCAGAAAAGCTTGATGCAATTGTTCAGATAATTAAGAAGAGGAACACTGCACTTAGTCAAGACAACGATGAGATTGAAGTAGATATAGATAGTGTTGATGCAGAAACACTCTGGGAGCTTGATAGATTTGTAACAAATTTCAAAAAGAGTTTTAGCAAGTACAAGAGAAAAGCTGAACTTCTTCGAGCCAGGGAAGGAGCTGCTCAGACTGCTCGAAATGTGGTGAGCTTTGTTCTCTAATGTATCCTTCTCTTATCCCCTCCCCCCCACCCCCCAAGTACTCATTGTGTGTTTGTCTGGTTGAGATTCTTAATGTGTGAAAATTACATTGCAGAACCCTACATCAATGGTTGCTGATGCACTGAAAGAAAATGGAACTGGTAAGTGTCTCATAGGAGGAATTGTTGCCTCGGATAGGTTTCAAAGAAGCATTGGGTGAAAAATACTTATTGTTCTTGCTGTCATGTATGAGTAGGTGAAAAAGATACAACTCCTGCTACCCTTGAAGGTGGAAGACCAGCGGATAGTGCAAGTAGCAGCTCAAGTAGTTCCAGCAGTGATTCAGGCTCATCCTCTAGTGGTAATTATGATCCTCTCCTCCAAGTCTCAATGCTGCACGCATAATGATTGTTCATTGTTTAACTAATTTTCAGCAAGTTCTTCTCAGTATCTCTAATTTAATTTGCTACACTATGTGCAGATTCTGATAGTGATAGTTCTTCGGCATCTGGATCAGAGGCGGCGCAATCACCTAGAACATGACAAGCTCTTGATGTGAGTAAGACTGATTTAGCTAGTGCACGTGATCTTTCTATTGTTGTGATGTGAACTTATTTTTTTCCCCGTAGAAGCATCTTTCTTTGTTTTTATTCTTATATTTATTTGAAATGTGAATTTTGGATTCTGTGCCATGTGCTTTTTTGAGTATGCTGTTTGTGTTAAGTTCTCTTGATTGCTGCAGTTGTTAGGTTGATATTTGATGAAATGGTATGATTAGGAAAATACTCTTTGGCATTGGTTTGATGGTGTCTGTGATTCCAGTTCTAACTATTTTTGGAAATATGGTTGAGGACTATTACTATGTCTAATATGGTGTTTTGCAAAATAACATATGAGATGAACAGAACCAATAACCACTTGTTTTGATGGAAATTTTTTGTTGGATTGGGTGGGAGCATGAGATTCGTTTTGGTAGGAAGTGGAAATCTGAGAAACTCTTCATTGTGAGGAGGGGCCATTTTAAGTCACCATAGATTGGCTTTGATAGAGTAGCTTGACAATGAATGTTACGACTGCATGAGAACCGTAAAATAGTTTGGGTAGGACAGCTTCTGTGTCTGATAGATGTGGAGTTGATGTTATATCCAGTGGTGTAATGAGACAACTTTTCATGACAAGTGGAGAGGGTCTTTTTAGAGTTGCACATTTTCTTTTCTGGTTTCCGACAGCTCTGTTGTGAATGAAGCTGACAGTTTGAAACTTCATTCCTTATGGGCTTATATAGCTGATGATTAACACACTTAGTATTAGGCGTCTCAACATGGGCTCCATTTTTGTGGTTGCTCAAGTTGTATCAAATTTGTGAAAAATACCAGCCTAGTTTGAACAAGTTGAGCAACACTACTTCTCTTTGCATATCTAATATGGTCAACTGCAACCATTGATTTCAGAACCTGACAAGATCTGATATTGGATTTGTTCAATAAGTTCGATCATTGCATTTAATTCAAACAGATTGGTGATATATGTGAAGAACCAATGCTCACCTACTTTCTTAATAACAAATTAATAAGTTGAATTACCAACCGTACAATTTTATTTAGCAATATGATTATTTTACCAGAAGAAAACATTTGTCACTTGAAAACCACTCAAACTTTGTGTCTTCTGATCAAGAAAAAAAAGAAAATTTTCAGAATTCCTGTTCCATTTTTTAGCTACTGTTTCCAGTTGTTATGTTAGAAGACGAGTTGTTCTAATATCCTTTAAACCATCAGTAAATCATGCTTTTTATCACATGAAAATTCTTGGTTCTAAGGTTCTGCTTTTTACCGTGGTGGTGCATTCACTTTTTGGGCCTTTTCTTTACCGAACCACCATGCAGATTGGCCATTTAAGGAGGGCATTTTCATAGCCATGGTTATCCGTTGCTTCAGTGACTTAGTGAATGTACTGTCAGTATGAAGGAGGTGAAGACTATTTAGTAGTTTCAGAAAAAGTTGAATATCACTTGATCCAAAAAAGGGAGAGATTATATTACAGCAGCAGATACACCCATTTTCTAGCCCTGTTTCCTTAGGTATACTACTCTACCCAGCAGGGCAGCATGTGCAGCAAGTTTCCCCTCCCTAGAACTAAGAATTCCTGCTGTTTTCCTTTATATCCTCTATCCACTCTGTTATTGTGGCTCCCCGCTTGTTTCATGCGCCTAGGGACACCATTTTATAGTGGAAAGAAGGGGAAGTTTTGTTACTTTTTTTGCTTGTAATGCTTCTTTCCCCTTTGAATTTAATGGCTAAACTGCGGCGGAGTAATTATGATGTGGAAGAAGTCAGTGGAGGAACTGTTACAGTGTTATTTCATTGACTATTTCTTGATTTATTTCCGTTGGTTTGAGGCTCTTTATATTCTATGATTCTTTGCCTTCTATTTTACCGTTGTCATGGTGTTTCTTGCCTATGATGAGAAAGTGTTGTGTAAATTTGTCTATTTTATAATTCTTGCAGGAAATTTTGATTATGAATGCATTGGAGCAGGCGCCTGTTCAAACACTCGTCTGAAAGACGTCTTGTGGCTCTTGCATGATAAATTTCTTTCAAGAACTTCAAGTATGGGAGGAAGTCCTAGTGATTCTGGGAGCATGTTAGCTGTTGGCTCTCACATTCTTCTCGTCATAGGTGGTTATGGTGGTAGTGTGAGATATTTAACACCTGTTTGTTGAATTAAAATCTTGTGCTGAAAAAATCTATTTTTTCAGTATCATTGTCAACAATTTGGCAGGATCACGCAAGGTCCTGCAGCTGTAACCTGGTGTACAAAGAGCATAATAGGCTGATGTGTATTGTTTGTTTGCTTTGGGAGTATTTATTGCATTGTAATATCCCCATCAGGAATTTAAATGGAAATAACAGTAGGGTGTACATATTTTCTCAATTCTTGTCTGGCGGCAAGTTTTTAACTTTTAAGCATCGATGGGAGATTTTTCTCGATGTATTTGCGTGTTTTGAGCTCTTATAAACTTGCTGCGTACTTGTGAAGTTGGGTTTCTCCTGGTTCCATATTTTGTTTCTCGTGCTTGCATTGTAGTCTGCTTAGTTCCAAATTGGGTCCCTCCTGTCATATTCAAAAGTATAACGACAGAAAATGGCTAATGAATTGCAATACAGTAATTGGTCATGAACATTCTTCATTTCAAATCAATTGTCTGTTTCTAACCATAATTGGAAAACGATCCATGTGAGAATAACACCTCCACACTAAGGCAAATGGCATAGACGCCAGTTTGCCATACATTATTTTGTAGAAATGTTGGGTATATATCAAAAGAGCTAAATCTAAGCTGCAAGAAACTTGCAAAGGATACAACACAATTGACCAAAAAGGATCCAAAACTGTCACTCTAGAAAACTAGACCATAATTTTGTTTTTAGTTCTCTTTGGCAAACTTGATTCCCTTCTCAATGGAGGAGAGCAGCTCTGGCTTAAGAGCCTCAAGTCCTTGCTTCTCGTAGTCGTTAAGTGGACCCAACCCTAGGACTTCCTCCACTCCATTTTTCCCAAGTCTCACCTGCAAGGGTAAAAAGCAGAGTGACCAAATCAGAATTTGAAACCAGTAAGAGATCAAATTGTATGGCATGTAAAAGTACAGACTGAGCGAGAATATCATGCAAGCATTACGAAAAGAGTGACCATATGGTGATTATTTTGCTTGACCAAGAAACCATTTGCAGTGAAGAACCTATTAGTCAGTTGATAACAGAAAGTATCAAATTTAGCCCGTGATCTGAACTTAACAAGCTATCTACATTCAGATGTGTGTGCGACTAAGAACAAATAATAACCTAGGCTATCAACGTAGTTCTAAAACATTCGATTTACACTGTTGAAAAGCTACCCACCCATCACCATTCCACAAGAGACACATGCATAATCAAGACTCATGATGTCAAAACTATCTCTGAACACATCCAGATTTTAATTTTCATTCTTAAACAGACCATCCCGTTTCTGGGACCTAAACTTGAACTATATAATTTGTTTTTACCTCGCAATCAAGCAATTTTCATACCCACATGATAAAAGGGCAATGACCAAATGAATCAGACAGTTCAAAGAAAAAAGTTTAGTAACACATCTGTAGAATACATGACCTCGAGTGTCTTTGTAGGATAAGAAAAGTATTATTACCTTGGATGCAAAGAAGGGAAGCTCGGTGACATTGGACTGCACAAAAGCACATTCAACAACATCGGGAACTCCATTCAAACCCTTCAAGCAAGCATCGGCAAAAATAGCCCCAGCATAGCTGCAGACGTAAAATTAACTGCTTAGAACCAAGTTTGCAAACAGGAAAGGCCAGTAATTAAAGTGGTTTGGGCCAGTAAAAGCCAAAAAAAATCTGTTTTTTTTTTGTTTCTCCACATCTCTACATCCCTAAATACTTGATTATGGGCAGCATCACAACTTAAGCAGGTATTCGTACCCAGATATAACAAAATCTTGCAATTAAAGTGAAAATCTTTTAGGGAAAAAAATAAATAAATCAAGAAAAACATAAAAGTGGAAACATACGCCATTGAGAGGGTGGCTGAACCCTTTCCAGCCTTGGCCTCCACGACTTCTGTGCCACCATCTTGGGTTCGCTTTGTGAGTGCAACAATTTCCTCATTTGACAGATTTGCCTTTGGAGTGGCCTATATCCAAAATTTAGTGATGAAAACAAGACTCAGTAATGCCACAATATGGAAATCACCAATAACAACCTAAATAATACATACTAAAAAGAGTTCAACCAAACTCTTACAACATAAATAATACATACTAAAAAAGAAAAACTTAATAACAAGGGACAAGAAAAGAAAAATTACTTGAGAAAATAATGGGAGGATAGTTATGCCAGCATGACCACCAACTACCGGAAGATTGACCTCTGAACAACGAAGCAAAAAGTAAGTAAAGTAGACAGACATCATTGTATGAATTTACTGTTTAATGTAAAGCGAAACAAAACCAATTCAAACATAGAATTAGATAAAAGGACGCACCAGCAACATTTACTTTAGCTTTTCCAGCATAAAATGTCTTGGCCCTAACCACATCAAGCATGGTAACTCCAAAGAGCTTCTTTTCATCATAAGTTCCAGCCTTCTTAAACACCTCAGCAGCAATTGGGACAGTGGAATTCACTGGGTTGCTTATCATATTGACCAGAGCCTTTAAGTTGATCAGAACAAGCAGGCAGATGAGAGAAGAAATCAAAAACTTTTTCTAGAATCTCCTATATAACCCCCATAAACAAAGATAATTACACAAGTTTACTCACATTGGGGCAGTACTTAGCAATGGCCGTGCAAAGAGATTTAACAATACCCGCATTAATGTTGAACAGATCATCTCGGGTCATACCAGGCTTTCGGGGCACACCAGCAGGAATGATAACTATATCAGCTCCTTCCAGAGCCTTCCCTAGCTGCTCTTCTCCTGCAAAACCGACAACCTGCAAAGTCCACAAATATATTTACAGATCAGAATTGCAGGGAAGAGAACCACGAACTGGCACAAACACTTTTTAGATAGGTTTAGGACACAAAAGGTAGATGGGCTTCGAATCGTTAACTACTGGACACCTCAAACAACATTGTAATCAAATCATCTTGAAATTAAAACAGGCTACTGATGCAAAGTGTAAAATGATCTCGTGTTGAACTCTTCATTGCTGATAAGCACCTAGTTTTCAGCACAAAACCTTGTACTTGCATAACTAACTCACGAATCTATGTATATTTATGTGATACACACTCGAAAAATAGAGTAAATAGTGGAATGAAGTAAGCAACAAACTCGAACTCCATAGTGAACTTGACTAGCGTAAATCGGATCGGAGCTCGAGATTCAGGAGATAAAAAAGAATGTTTACAGAATCAATCAACCTACCAGTTACGTCTTAGTACCAATTTAGCTAATGCTCATACAAATGAACAAAAATAGAGAATTCCAAGCAGAAAACGGAAGGGAGAGAGAGAGTAGAAAACAACCTCAGATCTGGTGTTGATGTGACTAACATCGGCGGCAACACCGGGAGTGCCGGCGATATCGTAGAGTGAAAGGCTGGATACTAAAGGGTTGAGCTTCATTAGAAGAGATAAAGGCTGTCCAATCCCTCCGGCTGCCCCCAAAACTGCAACTTTCCTCTCCGGTGCGGATCCCGATGCGAATCCACGGCGGGATACATAGGATGCTCCGGCAGTGGAGCTCCGGCGGACGATGGATTTCAACATGGAGGTCCTCATTTCGGAATATACAAAAGAAATGAGGAAAAAGGTAAAGCTACGGCGGAGAAAATAAAATAGGAGTTGTGGTGTGTTACTGTGTGCGCACTATTTATTGGCAACAAAAAAAAGCCTGTCAAAACTTTCATTTGTGATTTCGAGGACATCTTATTTCTTTTATCATATTTGATCTCGATTAAATTTGAAACTTCTTATTGAGCAGTGGATCCTTGTATGCAAAACTTGAATTCAAACATGTGATTAAAGACCATTGTTCGTATGTTCAGGGGATGAATCTTGTTTGAAATAGATGGTATGAATTTGTCAAATATTCAATAAGAAATTTCTCAGGTTATAACCAAATTGGTTTTCTCGCGTTGTTTAATTTTCTTGCTGGCAACTACAATAACTATATCTTAATCCCATAATTCAACAAGAAATTGTTCAGTGATCATAAATAATTATTGATTTCTCGGGTTATAACCAAAATGGTTTTCTCGTATTGTTTAATTTTCTTGCTGGCAACTATAATAATTATGTCTCAATCCCATAATTATAGTTAGTTTTACGCTGATTATCATCTTAATTGATTACACAGGTATTGTTGAAAAACTTCAAAGCAACATGGTACTTCTAAGAACAAGAGACAAGCCCTAGATATGAAAGGTGGAGATCAAAGATTGGTTGATAGTCGAGTATCATCACACTTTGTATATTACTACATGTTGCTTCACTTCCTTTATATTTTGTTGTCATACATACATTCTTGGTCATATTTTTCTTGCTACCATGCTTTGATCTTTTTTCTTGTCTGTCGAATCAAAAGACACTATCAAAAACAGTCTCTCCACCTCACAAAGGTAGGGGTTAGGCTTGCATATTTTTACCCTCCTCATACTCCACTTGTAGGATTACGCTGGGTGTGTAGAAGCAGTAGTAATAGTATACTGACACAAAGAAGAACAAAACATAACCACTGCATGAAATCTGGGCACATTGCTTAGAATCAAGAAATAATCCTCAAAACCAGCTGGCCTCTTTGATCATGTCTCCAAAACCTTTATGCTGAGACAATGTCACAAGTGAACAAAAGATATCAAAATGCTCATAGCAATTGAGCAGAATGATATTTATCCAAAATTGTTTTCATAAGCCTTGACAAGCCTGTAAAGGGAAAAATAAGATGTAGTTTCTACCATTTATCTCACAATAAGACTAATGATTAGCTCAATTATGCTAACCGTTATCGCGGAACCTTTACAAAGAGAGAATTCTCAGCAGAAATTATTATCATGGGGTTGTTTTCACAGGAAAAAAGGCTCATTTACAGGAGCTCCCACTCAGGTTCACAGATGTTGCATGTGGACGATTCCATCGAGTGTAAACATGGTGAAGGAAGAGAAGGTAATTGAGAGAGCTCAACGTGCTGGCTCGTTTCAGCATCCACGTCTGCATACAAAACAGCCAATTGCTCGTATTCCTTTATTCTTCTCTTTCTAGGAGCAAATGCCTCCTGTATCAATTCCTGTAGTATGGCAGATAAAGTTGAACGATAATTGAGTTCAGGATTTGAAGTAGAAGGGAAGCTTACAAATAGAGACGCTACCTTGTACGACTTATATTTTCTTGGCCTAGAAGAAACGAGATGGTGTAATTTATAGTCAACGAGGGCACAACTTTCCTTGGGTATTTCCTTATCAGTTAGATCAATTGTTTCCATGCCCGGAAGATCAATGGAGCTATCATTCATACATCCTGCAAAAAACATCAAGCAGTAAGTAGATCTCAGATGAAAAGCAAAGATACAGATGCTCAAATTTGAGAAGCAAGCCATCAATCTGAAGAAAGTAGTATATATGACCATGTATAATTCCACGTTTTTTGCTCTCAACCTATAAACCGCCAATTTTTTTCTAATGGATCCGCATCAATCCTCACTGTTATATTTCCAAAGAAAGAAAGAAATAATTTATACCTCCGTGAAACAGATCGAAACTTATTCATGGAGACTTGGCAAAATACTGATATTAAATCTCAAAATACTACACGTTCTATGAAATGATGAGGATATAACATAAATGAAGTACCGATCAACTGGTATGATCTTTCCAAAGAAGGTATATCATCCAGAAATCTTCTGTCAATTCTATAAAAGAACAACCCTTTTATTCTTCAACAACAATATACCCGGTGAAATCCCACAACCCTTTTATTCTTCCATAAGTCTTTATAGTTGAAGCGATACAGTTGATCCAACAATATTCATTTCAGTATACTGAAAAAAAGTAGACAAAGCATTCGAGTCAGTATCATCCCTTCACCCTCAAATTTCCTTTTTCATTTTATTTTTTATATGGGAGGGGAGGAGAGCAAGGAAAAATTGGGACTGATTACTTTTATTTTGATCATATGATGCTGCATTATAGAGCTCAAATTTGCAAACCCACAATTAAACTGTGAACTCTCCTTCCGGGAAAATGATATGTTATAGCATCCCTGCAGCACACACAGGCAATCAACTACTACGTAATAAGCATGTATTGCAGCAAAAATCCGAGTTTGCACTCATTTCTCATTATTCTCATCGTTTAATACATGCAACATCATCTCGGCTACATTGCCATAGTTTAATTGTGACTTTGTTAGAAACACATGAATTTCAAAGGAAAGAAAGAAAAAAAAACACAAATTTCCTCCATGTAGTACCTATTTCTGCAGGACATATCAGTTGAGGGCTTGGACAACACTCGAAGTCATTTTGAACTGACCTACCATTTCCAACCAACTCGTGAGAACTCGAGGCATTTACTTCTACAAAAGGAGAAATCTATTGTAGCAATGGATACAACAGAAAGAAAAAGGAAAGTAGAAACAGAGAGAACAAAAAATTGGACAGTGTTTATCGTTTACTACTAGACCAGAGGGTTGAAAGAGGAATCCACTTACCACTGAAATCTGTCAACGGAGTACTTGAGAGAGCTGGAATGACAGAAACAACATTGTTTGCGCTCGCTAAGGAAGTAGACAAGGCAGATGAGTGGCCAGTGGAGATACTTAAATCAGACTCTGCTTCCTGCATACAGTTTCCAATTGAGGAAGTTGACAGGCTTGAAGATTCTTTTAACAGAGAACAGTTTGATATTCCAGAGTCAATATCCATGCTTTTGTTCTCCATAACTCGAGAAAGTACAAGTTCAGATGACTGAAGTGTGCTTGGAGCATCTTTTAATGCCAAGGTCGTACTAGACTCTTCAAACCCAAAAGTAACATCACCCAAAAAACTCTTATTCACGGTAGTGGACACCCCAAATCCTGCATCATTTTGTGAAGGAGGTATAACAGATGCAAATGCTGGGGTTTGTGGCAAAGTTTTATCTTCGACAGAACTTGATTCCTTGGATGCAAGTTGATCCTCACTGGTTATATTGTCTTGCAAGTTCGTCGGAGTTATTGAAGCATTGGAAATGCTTTCATCCTCTGGCAAGGTCCTAAGTTCTGTATCATAATTTGAAGTTGGATGCCGTAACTTAGTCATGGTGGAATTTCCTCGACTTTCCCCCATTGAAAATGGTAATGACTTTGATAGAGCCATCTCTCCAAAAGAATTTGATTGATCAGCGACTGGTTCCACCTCCCTAGTGATGTTCCGTAGCAAAACCATTTGACTACTTGGTACATTAGAAATACAGTTGATAGCATCAGGAGAACTATCAAACATTTTTTCATTCATAGATGCCGTGAGTTGTGATAAAGACAAAATATCCAAAAATGAACTTGATCCCTTAGCCAGTGGTTGTTCCTCCCCGACCATATCATCTTGTAGTATACTCTGAGAGCTCGATACATCAGAAAAACACTTATCATCATCTGAAAAGCTATAGCACATGGTATCTTTTGAATCTTTGTCAGAACAGGATTCAGATGAAACTCTGTCTTCTGAAGTACTTGGTTCGTCAACTACCAGTGCTTCCTCCCTTGTTATATTCTCTTTAAAAAACTTACATGAGTTCTTACAAATCGCAGTGGCACATTCATTTCCTACAGAAACATCAATTTCTGCTTCTTCAGAAGCTACCACACCATCAAGTTCAGTTGAAGTTGAAGCAGCATGACTTTCAAGGGAATTCTGATTCTGACATGATTTCTCTTGGATAGGGTTCTGCGTAGTGTTGGCCACTGAACTAGTATGAGTGCCAACGGCGTGCTTTGGCTTCTCATTGACAGCTTGTGCTTCTTTTTTTACATTACTATCCACTGGGATAAGAAAATCTGGCACCACACCAGAGTAAAACTTTTTCATGTTTGCACCAACAGTTTGCACCTGATTCTCAACATACTTAACTGTGTCCTAATATTTAAGAAGTAAGTCAAATTAAAATCCGAACTACTCGTAAGATAGTTACAAAGTTCTGTCCATTCCAACACACTATAAACATATAGATTCCAAGGAAACAAAATAACCAGAGAGAAAGCAGATATACCGAAGTATTGGAAGTAGTAAATGGCCAAAAAGGATCACATTTACATACCTTAGTTACAAATTCATCGACCTCCTGACACACAGCCTCAAACTTGTGGTAAATGTTCCCAACCCAACTTTTGCTTCTGCTTTTCTCCATTGGTGCAATCTATGAATCAATTAGGAGACTATATGCTGATCATACTTCACGATCATTTAAAGACTAGGCAATGTCCTAATCCAAAATAGTAGTGTCACCTGCCAAAAGCAATGATCTGCATAAACATCATGATTAAGCATTTTGACACATAACTCAGGAGACATAATTCTAGGCAGCCAAGCACATCACTGGGCAAACCCAATGCAGCTTAATTCAGCTTGCTCAAAAATCTTCAGAAGGCAAAAGTTACAGACATAATTTTAGAAGTTATGGTATCATCTTAAAATCCTTACGGGAAATTTCTTTGCAACACAAGACAAATCAATATCGACTACCTTGGTATCTAAGTACAACAGAAAGCTGGAAACTTCTCAGACTAATCAATTAGAAACCACTTAACAAGTAACCAATCTATAATACCATTAGCAGATAGAGTACAGAGAGATTTCAAGTACAAAAGGGGTACACCACACTACTAAAAATTGAATTAATATCTTGCAAGTCGATGGCCAAATATCAAACTAATAAGAACAAATACTACATACTATTAAGGGATGAATAGATTACAAGTTTGGGGTGTTTGAGTAGGAAAAAAAAAAAGAACTAGTCCATACAAACTTAAGAAGCAAAGTGGACAGCAAAGCATTTGTCATGATCAAGCTCTTACAATTACAACAAAGGGACAATATGAACAAAGATTCAATCTTTTCAACAACAACAAAATAATCAATGTAGTCCCGTAAAGTGGAGTCTGGAGAGGGTAGATTGTATGCAGACGTTACCCCTACCTTAGAGGTAGAAAGATTCCATCTTTTCAGGAACACAAAATCTTATGTAAAACAAGACATCAAAGCCAAAGAAAAAACATAATCACACATCAAAAACCAATGATCATCACCTTAATGAACTAAATTACAGTAGAAGCCAGTCAACATCATCATCTGATAATTCCCCAAAAAAAGAACTAAACTATCACAAGGTCTCCACTTTAATTTCTATACTAACCTAACAAAAGAAAATAATTACCCATATCCTCTACTACAGTATGCACCAAGAAAAAAGTATCAGATAGGGTATTAAGAGATTTCAAGCACAAAGGGGTACACCACACCATTAAAAATCGAATTAATATCGTGCAATTCGATGGCCCAATATCAAACTAATAAGAACACATACTACACACTATTAAGGGATGAATTGATTACGAGTTTGGGGTGTAAGCATTTGTAATGATCAAGCTCTTGAAATAACAAGAAAGGAACAATATGAGCAAAGATTCAATCTTTTCAACAACAGCAACATAACCACTTTAATAGTGTGAGGTCTGGAGAGGGTAGAGTGTATACACGGACCTTACCCCTACCGTAAAGGTAGAAAGATCCTATCTTTACAGGAACACAATATCATATGTAAACAAAACATCAAAGCCAAGGAAAATACATAATCGCACATCAAAAACCAATGATCATCAGCTTAATGAACTAAATTACAGTAGAAATCAGTCAACTTCATCATCTCAAAATTCCCAAAAAAAGAACTAAACTATCACAAGTTCTCAGCTTTAATTCTGTACCAACCAAACAAACAAAAGAAAAAAAATTACCCATATCCTCTACAAGGGCTTTAGGCCCCAAAAAATAAGGGCTTCTCAAAGAACCAAAAGAAAACCCCAAATTCAGTTGACTCAAATACGAAAACATACCGAAGATGCACAAAGAAGACATAAATTCGACCAAGAGGCAAATATTAAACGAAGAACCAAAAGCACTGAGCAGAAAAGATGAAGGAGATACATACATATAAAAAGAAAAATATTATTAATGGTGACAAGCACCGTATTAACAAAATACTTTTGCTACACTAATTAATAGCACGAATTAGTAATGCAGAGATTAGTAATTGAATTTAGATTTTTATTGGGATGGTTGTTATTTTCTTTAAGAATAATTTTGATAGTTGTTATTTCTTACTTAAATTATTTGAGGATAAATAATTGTCATTTTAATAAATTGATAACTAACAAAATACTCAATTTTCAATGAAAAAAATAGACCATCTACTTTTAAAATCGAAAAGACAGTAAGCGATAGTAAAATTGAATAAATCATCTACGTTTACACATAATAATTGCAACTTGTAGTTTTATTATGAATGCAACTTTATAAATTGTTCAAAATACAAATAATTAGAAAATCATTTATATATATATATATATATCAACAAATAATACATTCAATTAAGATCACAAATATCAAGAGGTGATATATTTACGTTTTCAATTAGTAAATGTTAAACAACTCGCATTTCAAATATTGTATTGATTTGTGTTGGATTTATTTATCAACAAACAAATTTTTCTAAATAATAAAACTTGTAAGCAATATAAAACATAAAATCAAGAAAATAAATAAAATATTCAAAAAGATTTGAGGGGTATTTTTATCTTTACATAAATTAATCACGTGGTATTAATACCATCAAATGAAAAGTATTAGTTATACAATCTCTAATACCTTGTAGGGTATATAACTAATTCATGTATTAGTCATACATAGGCCAAAAATTCCTATCAAGCACAGTGGTAAATAATACCATACGTAATACAAGCTCAATTTCTCCCAATACTCCCTACCAAACGACACCTAAGTAGAATATTAAAAAAATGTATTTATTGTTACTATTAATTAATTTTTTCTCAATAGTTTGTTGCTAATCTCTTACTAATTATGCACATTGAAATTTCATTATTGTTGTGATTATATATAATTAAACATAGTAGACAATTAAATCTATAGTTACTTTTTATTTCTTAATTCATCTAATTCACTCCAATTTGAATCAACCATGTTTTAATACTGATCTTGTAAGATTGTCTTCAATTCTTTGAGATGTTCAACTACACATTTAAAGCTCAAACTAATTAGATTATTAAATAATTAAAAATTAAAAAGATGTTTTCTTAACTTTAAACCTCTTCTAAAAGCTAACAATTACTATAATATTGATTTTGTAATTAAAAAATATTACAAAATATTATACAAGTGAAAAAAATGATGCTTTAACTAACATATTCAATGAAGTGAAGTCTTAATTTTATTTTTAAACACTTTTATGATAATTTTTACGATTTGTGTAACAATTGATTTTATTAAAAAAGTTTTCAAAACTAATCAATAAGAGAAATTTAAATATTTATCTTGTTATGTAACGTACAATAATTTATATATGTTTATTCTTGTCTTACAATATATTACAAGAAATCTTATATTGTTCATTAAAAAAAATTAATTATTAAATTATAATCGATTATAATAGGGTTTTTTTAGAATTTATGAGAAATTAAATAAACATAATGCTCTTTTTTTAATTTTGACATCCATACTATTAAGAAACTAATGAATTAGGAAAAGGGGTTTTGAGTTGTACAAGAATTTCGCTATATATATTCTTAACAATTCCCAGGAAATTTCAGAAAATTTTGTTGGAGTTTTGTGTTCTTATGGAGTAAATGAAAATTTCCAAGCAATTTCCTAATGTTAATAGGAAGTTCACTTTTTGTTTTGTTTATATCTATTGTATTATAAGTAGGTATTCGATATCTTTTGACTTTTTGGATCACTCATCAACTCATTCCTAATTGTAATTGTTTCTCAGTGGCAATGATAGAAATTAAAAAAAAAAAAAAAAAAAAAAAAATCGAGATACATATGGAAGTAACAATGATTTAGTATAAAAAGTTTATTTATAAATAAATATATTGTATTATGTATCTTTTTATTTGATATATCATACACATATTGTGTGCAAGTGATTTTTTGAATTGATTCTCAACCTTTATTTTGGTGCAAAATTGTTTTTCTCTTTTGTATTGATAATTATAAAATCGCCCTCTAATTAATTATTTGTGGAAATTTCATTGGTACGTTTTCTTAAATTTAAAAAGTAGTACAATAATTTTGAATGATAGATTACAATTTATTGGTAATATGTTAGGAGATTAGATAAGATATGTTTTAACATTTTTTACGCGGGATTTTCAAAATTTACATATATCTTCATTAACAATAATAATGTATCCAATATAATCACACAAAGTAGGGTTTGAAAAGAATAGTGTGTACATAGACGTTATCACTACATTCGAAATGAAGAGGTTGTTTCCAATAAAACCTCAACTCAAGAAAGAACAATCCAAAGCAATATAGTAGATAAAGAAATAACGAATATAGAGGCAATCATGGCCAAATATGCTATGCAATAATCCCGACAAATCATTCTAAACAATAGTCATAACAAGATATAATTATAATTGAAGTGTAAGAAAATCTCAAATAATAACCGAACTCAAAGAACAATATACTATAAGAGTAATATTATGAGTAATAGCACAACTAACATTATAGAAGAATAAGCCAGATACTGCTTAAGTACTATCTTTAGCTGAAAAGAAAAATAATTATCGTAAATTAGTAAATACTTTTTCATTTTTAACTAAAGATCTCGAATTCAAATTCAAGACATGTAATTACTTTAATAAGAAATACTTTACCCTATATTAAAAAACTTTTCAAAATAAATTTGAATTAGTTAAATTTCAAAATGATTAGTGAACCCCAAGAAAAAAAAGTTGTTGAAGTCATTAGTCAATATCAACGAGTGTGTGCACTTGTGTATCGATAAACTTGACCTACAATTAGTAGATAAACTTTTTTAATAAAACAAAAACATGTGATTATTGAGTTACAACCATGTCAACATTAATGTCCATTTGCTTAAGAATGAAACAAATATTTACTTAGTGGTATGATTGAAGTATGAATAAAGTTTTTCAGATATATATAAATGATATAAAAAATAATCTATATAACAAAATGAGTATCAACATAAGAAAATAATAACATAGACAACAAATATAATCATCCTTCTATATTTTAGCATCGTTAAAGGTCAGACTTATTCCGAGACCTAGCATCATCGAAGATCAGACTTAAAAAAAAATATCTTACTTTTGATGTTATATACCTTTCTTAGAGTCAACATTGTCCCCTTTATCTGGTTGGAATAGCTTTTCTAACTTTCTTTCTTTTTTTGTTTATTTCTCCTACTTCACCATAACCAATAATGAGCCCTTGATGTGACCAAATTTAGCAATTCTATCCTTCAAAAGTGACAGATTCGACATGTTTGGTCCTTTTCCCCTCTGTTGACTTGATGCATCAAGATCAGTTTTTTCATCCAGACCCTAATACTTGTACCAAAAAATAATAAATTGATTTTTAAGTTATATATATAGTGTAGATAATTCTTTACACTATTAGTTCGATTTAACTTAGCTTTAGCAGGTTATTACTCTATTTTTCATGTTTACAAAAAGGCTCGTTAGTATAAACTATACATGTTATTAAAAGCTAAATGAACGTGATGATGTGATTTGTCAAAAATCTATGTACTGACAATTTACATAACTTAAACGTGGAAAAAATTAAGTAATATTCCCTCTATCTGAAATCTTTTGTCACTCTTCGTATCTCATCAAACTACATGAATTTGTTGGATGTATTTTTTTAGAAGAACATAATACTTTTCATATAGTTTTCAAATATCTAAATTTTAATTTTAAAATCTTAAATCAGTCAAATCGACTCATCTGCTTTGTATAATTACTATGTTGTTGTCTATCAGAAACATTCTCTCCACCTCACAAAGGTAGAGTTCGGTCTAGGCAAACATTTTACCTTACATTAGATATGTTATCGTTATTGTTTGACGCTTGTGAAGTGAAAAGTGACGAGTATTTTGAGACTATAGGGAATATGAAGCAACAAGATGCTAATGAAAAACATTAATAAATCTTCATAATCAAGATTCTTCTCAACTTTCAAAAAGGAAACTACCTAGCTAGTACACTTTAGTTAAATAAAACTATTTCATCTCATATCTACTAGCTAGCAAAACGTGAGCAAATTAAAACAGTCTTCTTGATGGACCATCAATACCATAATGGTTTGGGCCTTGGAAATTCTGAGGCCCAAAGGTTATAATCTGCATAGCCCATATTAGAACAAAGCCCAGAGCCCATGTGATTTAGGCCCAGCCCACAATCACATTTATGGGCATACATTTGCCCATTGCCCCGATAAGATGCATACTGAGTACCAACTTGTGACACTTCAGGCCTCGAGCCACAGCCATTGAACCTTGATCTTGAATTATTGTAACGGACTTGAAAATCGGGTCCAAAATTGACATTTAAATTAGGACCAACCCGCGATTTTTTCATCATTGTCCTCGGAATGGCCATTTCACAAGTCAAATAGTATCCATCAACACACTTATTAGGTTCATAAATTGCTGATTTTGCACCTTCAATTGTTTTGTACACGAAAATCGCGTAACCTCTTGATTTTCCTGTTTCCTTATCGAAACCAAATGGACCCTTTTCTATCACACCATAAGACGAGAAATACTCCAACAATTTACCTGAAAACATGTCACGTGGCACGTTGGACAGGTAAATAGTACGTAGAGACTCGTCCTCTACGACTCTAGTTCTCAATTTAGCAACTTTTGTAACGGTCATTTTACCATCGATCATTTTATATGGCTCTTTCAATGCCATTATCGCGCTTTCTACATTTTTGAAATTTACAAAGCCATACTCTTTGCTTACACCGGATTTATCTATAGCCACAAAAGCCTCTTCGATTTCTCCATAGGGAGAGAAAATTCGATAGAGAGTCTCAGACGTAGTTTGAAACCCGAGACATCCGATGAAGAGTTTACGATGAGTAAATTCATCGTGGGATGACATAGTTTTAGTCTCCGAAAGTACACTTTGTAGTACCTCGGGGACTAAAGCAGAGATGCCTTCAACAATTTTGTTGATTTGGTCATGAGAAAGAGGTTGATTTATCTTTTGTAGGCTCATTTTTTGCTCATTTTTTTTGTTCAAATGAAAATTTAGCCATATTTCTAATGCATTTAGGAAATGCAAACATTTAAGAAAAAATATTCTTGAAAGATCTTTGAATTTTGAAGTGAAAACAAATTTAAGATTTTGACTCATTTTTTACATAGTCAAAAAAGAAGTACCAATGAAGAGAGATAGGTGATGTGCTTCTTAGGAGTATTTTTCTCTATTGTTTCAACAAGGTTTTTAAAGAGGGCTGAATTAAATGTCAATGCGTGTCTGATGTTGATGGATATTTTTTTTTCGGTTTTCGATATCTGCATTGGGGCTGACTAAATTTATATTCATGCATTGTAAGATTCATTTAATAAGACTTTTTCCATTTGTAAGGGCTCTGATTAAGACATAATATCCCACCGCAACCCCCTTTATGGTACGTTGGTGGGATATTTTTTTTTTGATTTTTCATCCTGTGTTCGATATCCGCATTGGAGCAGACTAAATTTGTATTCACACATTGCAAGATTCATTTCTGGGGCCGGCGCTTCTAAGAAGATTTTTTCCATTTTCAAGGGCTTAAATTCGAGACATCTCATTAAAGATGGATGATCCTAACCATCCCACAATGACCCCTGTTTGATACGTTGGTGGGATAATTTTTTTCCATTCAATGTCCAATATCCATATTAGAGTCGACTAAATTTGAATTCGTGCATTTTAAAACTTATTTCTAGGGATTCACTCATAACAAAAAAATTATATTTCGAAAGACTCAAATCCGAGACACCTGATTAAGGACGGAAGATCCTAACCATCCCAGTGCAACCCCTGTTTGGTTGCAGGTCTAGGCAGTCAACGTTGCAGAATATAATTAATCATAGTATTAACTAGTAAAGCAATTGATTTTACATATAATCGAAAAGCTGATGAATACTTATCAGTTTATAGGGTTGCTAAGCTGTGCATTGTCAAATCCTAAAAGATCATCCAGATTAGCATTCCAAGAAAAACTTAATTTTGATTAAATTATAAAGTAACAACAATAACAATTACGTTTCAATCTCAAGCTAGTTGGGGTTGATTATAAGAATAAATAGTGAATATATCGCTTCATCTTGAGTCAATGTTAAACCAAATTCAAAAATAAGAAACGAAACGTACTAGTTAGAAGTCCACTATATTATATTTCTACTAGCATATAAAACTCTGATAAATGAGTTTTGCTCACACTATCGATTTCAAACCTGGATAAAAGAGAAGAATTGTGATAGACTGATAACGAATGTAAAGTTGTCAATTTATGATAAATCCTCGCAACACATTAATCAAGTAATAGTGACAATACATATTTTTAGAACTTATTTTATTTTTTTGGTTCTTTTCATGCATTTATGGGATTTCAAAAGGGGCAATTTTACTTGCCTTTCCTTGCACTTTCAGTAGCTCGATATATTTGATGCAAATTTTCAAAAAAAAAATTCTGCAAGATTAATGGAATTAAATTTAGTTCATAAATGTTATTGTAAAAAGTGTTATGTGTGTAGTACTTTCTTTTTTTTTGCTTGTAATTTGTTGGACATAAGCAAAAACGATTTAAAACCTCATATTCTACGATTATTTATATTGCCTCTGTAAGTCTGTTTCATTTTATACGATGGTGTTTTAAAAGAAACTACTTCCTTTACTCCATATTACATAATGTTTTAAGCTTGAGTGCATCTCTTAAAAAAATTGTTCATCCCTAGAAAGTAAAAAATATTTCCACAAAATTATGATCGATTAAGTAGTATCAATTTAATATGATTTCTTCATTACGTAAGATTAACTTATTTAAATAAACGTAAAATAGAAAGAAAATATTATTGTCTTCTTGATTATGTAAAAATATCGTCCATATATAATATAATATAAACCGGAGAGAGTAATAATTATTGCTTTCTACATAACTGCAAGATTAAATTTGGTAACAAAAATGGAAAACTTACAGAAATAGACTGTAGGCCTAAAGCAGTCAACATAGCACTAAATAGGATTTGCATATGATAGAAAAAAGCAAACAAATGAAAAATGATCAATTTCGCGTTCACTATATTGCATAATGAGATGATAAAACTATAACGACAAATTCAAAATTTAGACGTTATGAATTAATGATACAGCCATTTGACGAGCAATATGGTGATTAATTAATAAATAACAAATTGTTATATGTGGTGTAGATAAATGAAGTGTTATGCGGCGATTAACACAATAAAGGAATTATTATTAATACTATAAAGATGAGATTTACTCACAATTTTCTCTTAAATACTCTAGTTCTTGTATTGCTAATAAGTAATACCTATATTCTTATTCCATATTTTATCGCGTATAAATAATACATAAATCCTTCGTAACTCAATGTGAGTGTTATTTGATACAGTCAATTAAGCACTGCAGTAAACTATGCAATAATTATTTTTTCTTATTCGACCAACTAAATAAATATTATAAGTAGTAATTTATGAAAGATTTTAAAACTAAAACTAGCTATACCACATATATAATCAACCAAATAAAATCAAATTCATCTTAGTTCCTTGGTATGACTTTTTGAGAAGTTACTCATAAGTTACAACGATTCAACAACTAATATAAATGTATTACAGTATAATAAATGATATTTTCTTATATTAATACCCAAAAAAATAAAATAATCTAGTTTTTGATATTTTCAAGTCATTTTGACCTTAATCATTGGGCTATATAGAGTTTTTTTTTTAAATGACCGTGGTGTTCGGGCTAGGATAGATTTCCCTAGTGGCATTTAATGTCTTTGTTGAGAATTGAACCTGAAATCTTATGATTCTCAACCACTTTATTGATCACTAAGTCAGATCTTTAGGTACAAGTCCATCCATGGTTTTGATATTCATATGTTTCTAACCAGGGGCGGAGCCAGCCTTTTGTTAGGGGGTTCATCCGAATCCCCTTAGACGGAAAATATCACTATTTATATATGGTTAAAATTATTTTTTATGTATATATAATAGATGTCGCACCTCCTTCGGTTAGTTCGTGTGTTTAGTTCTTCAAATTTTGAAATTCTTTATTAAAAATTCTAGCTCCGCCACTGTTTCTAACTATGTATGCCCTTCCCTTAACGAAGCACATATGTGAGCCTATATTTGATTACTATTTATCCACTGATACTTGTCAAGACCTAACTATTGAAAAATATTATTGAACCCTATAAGTCCAAGTTGTGACTTTTTTTATTACTACTCTCTACCTAAAAAAGTGCAGAAGAATAATATCTGCATTACTATTACTTTGTTTCTTCCAAATTCAAGACAAGTACAACATCTTTTATCTAATACTTGTTTATTGTCATGGTCAATGAGGTGGAGAGAATCATTTCAAATTCTAGCTGAGACAAAAAAAAATTAACAATTTGTGTGGGTGATAATTGTTTTATATTTGTCAAAGTTTTGATGGATAAAGGCAGCGTTATTATTTTGAATTTATGAGTTCTTGATTCTAGAAAAAAATTACAACGTTGCCTTTTATCGGTAGAGAGAATTGTCTAATATTTATATTGGCTAAATACATGACAATAGATATCGATGAAATAATCAAGGTATGTGCAAGCTAGTCCACATACCATCGCGATTAATTAAGAAAAATAAATTGTTTACTAGAGGGATGGCTTGCTTGGACACGTCATTATTTTGCTTGGATGAGAGTTGGTTTGGATTTTGATGTTTTATTTACTGTTTATGTTATGCTATTATTGCTAAAGCGTGTGGAAAATATGTAGACCTAATTTAGGAATGCATTTTTATTATTATTTTTTTTCTTCTTCCCTCTAACAAATTATCATAAGATATTTATGGACAAATTTCATATTAGGACTAACAACTAATCATTATGGAATTATATTAAGATTAACTAAATAAAGCAAACTAATATTAGCAAAATATTCATTTAAGTTGTACCAAGAATATGGTATGATTATTTTAATAATTTGAATCTACCTTTCTTTTATGTTTTTATTAATTAATTAATGGATGAAGAGACACCAAACTATACTAATTAATTTTCACCCATAGTTACACCAAACTATACTAATTTATCATTGTTAACTTATAAAATAAAATGAAAATATGTATTAATTATCTATAATTTCGTGTTAAGAATATATTAACTACATGTGTCTATTAATTACGTTATGTGCATATAAGTTTTTACCTTAATCCTAATACACAACGAATGTTGCTCGAACTTTTTAAAACTATAGGATGCGATACCTATTGATTAATCATCGTCATTAGTGAAGAGTTTGAACAACATAGCTCATTGCATGACACAATTTCCTAAATAGGGAGCAGATATTTTGATTTAATAATTCCTAAACAATTGTGTGATTGTAAATGGATTTAAGTGTCAAAAAGAAAATTCGAAAGGAAGAAAAAAATATTATTCCCTTCGTCCCATTTTATACGGCACCTTTTTTTTAGTCCGTTCCAAAAAAAATGCTCCCTCCGTCCACTTTTATTTGTCATGTTGCGCTTTTCGAAAGTCAATTTGACTTATTTTCAAAGTTAAATTAGATTACATTAATTTGATTTTTTAAATAAAAAATTTAGATATTCAAAAACTATACGAAAAATACTATACATTGCAATTTTTTACATATCAATACGATGAAAAAATATATCCTAAAATGTTAGTCAAAGTTTTTATAGTTTGACTCTAAAAATAGAAAGTATGACAATTAATAGTGGACAGAGGGAGTATCACCTTACTATAATTAGAAATAATTTAACTTTAAAATTCTCTTTTTCATCTAAGGATTGTTTTAGACCACAAGTTTTAAAAGGAACTAATTGAGATGCGTGAAAGCTCACCCAAACCCGGACACCGCGATCATTTAAAAAAGTCTTTTTACCCCGTGCAAAGCTAAACGATGTCACATAGATTGAGACGGAAGGAGTAGAATGGAGACAAGTAGAAAGAATAGAGGTGGCAGGTAGAGA